GAAAGGGTCATTCAACCCCCAGAGGGGTCGCGACCCACCAGATTGAGAATCACTGGTCTAGAAGATTATACCTCCTACTGATCACACTATGCTTATTAATGGGTTGGAAAATGGCAGGTGAGCTCTTGTGTTTTTTTAAAGAGATTCCTTGGATGATAAGTCCAGGGTACGGTATGGCACTGATGAACCACATGACTATCCTCTAGTTCTTTTAAGATTTCCTTCCCTTTCTATGAAGGCCCTTATGCAATATGTTTCATTAATCATGTTAGATTTGCGTATGTTCATTTGTACATTTAAGGTCACTCGGTACATGGTAGTCAAGATGGATGACCCCTCAGAGAAACTGACAGGACAAGGGTTCCCTGGGGGTACAGGAAGTGGGGGGAGGATGGAGGAAGGTAGGGAGAGGGGAGTTAACAGCATCAATGATTATAAAACCCCACCCATAATAAACATTTATCACATATAAAAAAAAAAACCCACCCGATGGGATTGAACAATAGAACTGTATGGAAAGGGAACTTCCTTGTTAATCTGACCTTCTGTGTTTTCTTCCACAAGAATGCTTTGAAGACTGACACTAACCGTGGCAGGATACATAGAAATAGCAGTTTCTCCAGATTTATTGTCTCTCAGTCCTGACCCTCTAATACCACATAAGGTCCTTGGGAAGCAGAATTGACAACAACCCCGTCCCCCTACCCCATTTCAAACAGGCAACTGACAGCTAACATGTGTAATTCAGCAGACGGAAGCTGAACTCAATTATTCTTACTTCCATGTGTAAAACTCCATTGTTGTCAGGTGCAACGAGTATTAAATAGTCAGCAATCTCATGTGACATAAGGTTTTCTTGGCTGTACTCTTTTTGGAAGGTACTAACCCATTGCCAATCGATTAGTACACCATGAGTACTAATCGATTCCGACTCATGGTGACCCTATGGGTTTTGGAGGCTGTAAACTTTTAAGGGACCAGTGAGACCTCATCTTTCTCCCACAGAGAGGGTGGCGGGTTTGAACTGTTGACCTTGTGAGTAGCAGTCTGACGCTGACCTGACAGCACCACCATGGCTCGTTGGCTGAGCCGCTGCACTGGGCTGGGTTCAAACCTATAACTTTCAGTAGTTAGCAATCAAGGGTTTAAATGTTGCAACCTACTGAGGAACATGTCTCAAATGTCCTGATAGGTGAGAAGAAAGGCAAATTGGGCCAGAGAGCTTCATCAAGGTCCAAGAGCAGACAAGACCTGGTGGTTAGTGGGCCTCACACCTATTCCATGACTCTGCTCCAAGAGATGGCGGCAGGGCCAAAGGCTAGCCTCTCGCCACCGAGGCCCAGGACAAGTTGCCTGGTGACTGAGAGGGTCTCTCTGCTGCCTTGACACTGTCTAAGACATCACACTTTTGCACTGTACTAGGGTGTGTGAGGTGGACAGGGGCGGTCGGGGAGCGGGGAGTGTTGGGGGACCAAAATGAAATGCAAACTCACTGCCATTGAAGGATGCTGACTCTGAGAGACTGTATCAGCAGGGCAAACCTGCTGTGGGTTTCGAGACGACCACTCTTTATGGAGCAGCTGGTGGTTTCCAACTGCTGACCTTGTGGTGCTGAGCCCAATGTGTTCCCACGGGGCCACCAGGGTTTCTCCTCAGAGCTGTCACACTCCTATTTTTTGGAGCCCTGGCAGCACTGTTAAGTAAGGGATGAACTATTAATTGCAAGGTCGGCAGTTCAAATTCAGACACCCCACCCAGGGAGAAAGATGAGGCTCTCTGCTCTGGAAACCCAAGGTTGCTATGACTCAGAATCGGCTTTGGCCTTTCCTGCATGATGCATTATTTGGCCTATCTAATGAAGAATGCCGTTACAGCCATCTAGCTTTTTTTCCACTGTTGGCTTGAACATCTCTGAGTCTCTTCTAAAAAAAAAAATCTGTTACCATCAGGGACATTTTATTTTATTTTATTTTTTTGCTACATGCATGACTTTGATGATTTTTTTTTCTTTTTTAACATTTTATTAGGGGCTCATACAACTGTTATCCCAATCCATACACACATCAATTGTGTAAAGCGCATTTGTACATCGTTTCTCAAAACATTTTCTCTCCATTTAAACCCCCGACATTAGGTCCTCATTTTCCCCCTCCCTCCCCGCTCCCCCCCATCAGGGACATTTTAGAATCTGTCTTTCCTCTCAAGGTTTTCATGATGAAAAAAATTTAATGCGTATATAGAATTAAGACAGAATAGTAGGCACCCATAACCAAGTTATTATAATTATTAACATTCCTGTCAATTCTCCTTTTCGTTCCCCCCATTTCTGCAGTATGTTAAAGCAAGTTTAAGACAGCGGTCATTCTGTGGGTGAATAATTCAGTTAAAAACTTCACCCTCATCCAGTCAATGCTGATGTCATTGCAACTCTAGAGGAGAGCGCAGTCCTCCCTGTGGGTTTCCGAGATCCTAACTCTTTATGGAAGTCGCAAGCCCTCGCTTTCTCCCACAGAGTGGCTGGTGGTTTTGAACTGCCTACCTTGTGGACTGCAGCCCAATGCATAACCACTCTGCCACCAGAGAGCCCAATAATTCTGTGGCCCCTTTAAAATAGGGCATTTTGCAAACATAGAACCAGCATGCTGCTATCACACCAAACAAAAGCAAATAATATGTCTTTAATATAAAACCCAATGTATATACAAGTCTCCCCAATTGTCTTCAGACACATCATTTACAGTACCCTTCTCCCCCCCCCATTCAAACACTACTGGCTGATAGCCTGACGTTCTTATAGTCAGTTAGAGGGTCCCTGGGCAGGAATTCAAGAGGACAGCCTTATTTGTTGTACACACACGTGGAGCATTCAGATTCTGTGCAAACCGGAACAAGCTCTCCAACCATAGCAAATTTCATTCCTAACCGACCAGTGAAGCAAACTTGCGAACTATGTATGGCAACAGCAAAATAAACTTGATTCAGATGGTTCTTTTTCCCGTCTCTAATCGGCAGGCACATGGTCTTGTTTTGAAGTATTTGGGGCACCTGCTCCTTGGGCTGTTAGTGGTTTATATTTATGCACACAGAACAGTGTGCTAGGGAACGACTGATTTTCCTACAGCAGTTACACGACGCTGTGCTTGCAAATGTGGGAGAAAGAGCCCGCATCTTATTTAGTAATGTTAGTTCACCTAAAAATAGAAAGGGGGTAAACAACAATGGCAGCAGCAACTCCACCTTGCTTAAGATGCATGCCAAAGGTGGGTCACAGACGTAAAGACTTCACCCCTTTCCTTGGGGACTCCCCCGGGTAGGTACAAATGGATCGAATTTGGGGGTGAGCTGGGGATGGGGTGAATGTGCCTTTTCTTCTCTCTGAACAGAATAATTCTAGCCCTAAAACTTTGGAAAGGAAAATATTGAACAAGAACACAGTGAAGATGGAGTGTTTACTTATCGCTACCTGGTCTGTGCTCTTTAAACATAAAATTATTTTAATTATATGATGAGAGTAATGTTGTGTCTCATGCGCCATATGCAGCGGAGACAAGCAGCATAATTTAATTTCAAGCTGCAGTGAGGACCTGGGAATCTGTCGGCTTTGGAAGAGTTGGTATTCCTAAAGGAACAAAGCCTCTGCTATGTAATAGGTGGGGCTTCACGTGTTGCCCTTGGACAAAAATGTCTTGGGTTTGGTTCCATTACACAGAATGGAACCAAAACACCAAACTCGCTGTCATGGAGGCATTGCTGACTCAGAGCGACCCCTGTGGGTTTCCAAGACCATGACCAACTGTTTACAGGAGGAAAAAACTCAGTCTCTCTCTGAGTTGCTAGTAGTTTTGAACTGCTGACCATGCAGATTGCAGCCCAACGTGTAACCACTACGTCACCAGGGGTGCTGAAGCATAAACTGGCAAAACCACTTACTCATTCCTGCAGAGACAAAAGCAGGCCCTGCTTGGATGACAGCCACAAGAGAGAGGGGAGAGAAGATAAGAAATCAGGATGGGCTCCCCACCTCCAATTCTAGGTGCAAAGTACACAAATATTTACTTACTTTCAAGGGAAAAACTTTCTCTGTGTAATAATCACTGTAAAGGCACACTTTCTCTGTGTAAATAATCACTGTAAAGGCACACTTAGTGTCACCGATACATCATCACGGAATTTTAGAATTAGGCTCTATTTCATATCACTGAATGCCATATTAAGAAACAGAACTTTTGGACACATATGGACCATGCTTTCTTTGTATCTCAGAAAACACCTTGCACAGAGTCAGTGCTTCAGAAACGTGGTTGAACTGAATTTACTGGCAGGTTCTATGAAAATGTAGAAATGTGATTACTTGAAGAAACTCTCCTCTAGCATTCAAAATGCTCAACAGGGCACAATTATAGGGTAACCGAACTGTAACTAATGTGTTTTGATATTCTTAAATAACAAGCTGATTTAGCAGCTAGAAAGGGTGTCAAGGTAATACCCCCAATACTTTTTTTTTTCTTATCATTGTCTTAAAATACATATGGGATGAGAGGACCTGTGAACATCATCTACTTCTAGCTGTTTAACAGCAATGACCTTTAAAACGTTGCTAATGTCTTGGGAGTTTGAAAAAAAGTCATGAGACGATTCTAGAGATATTCTAGAGATATAGCATAGGCACTATGGAATACAACAGCCATTTTTATATGCCCTGCACACACAATTTCCTTATTGGGGATAGGAGCTGGAAAATTCCATGCTGGGGATTTGATGGTGGAGTTTCGAGCTGGAAAAATCAGGGAAGGGGACAGCATTGTCTAGGGCAGTGATTTCTTATCTCTAGCCAAGCACAAAGAATCATTTGGAGAACAAGGTAAAATGTGGGTTTCTATGCCCCACTATCAGCTCGCTTGCTTTCAGCAGGTCTGGGGTGGAGTTAGGAAAGTCACTTGTCTTAAAAACTTTCCGCCTTGGCTGAAGCAGCGGAGCCACTTTGCATACTGAAAAAAGAATGCTTCGCGGGGGCCAATGTGCTGCAAACATTTTCTGTCTCACTAAGTCTGGGTAAAGCTGACAGAGGAAATTAAAAATGAAAACCAGAGAGGTAGACGGCTTTTTGTTTTCGGATAAAGACTAAATAGAAGGGTTTGTAGAGTGTACAGTGATATCGTTACGGCGTGATTAAAAGCTGTGGTCAGATTAATTTAGCCAGACCAACAGTCTGGTCCCACTTCCCTAGTCCCTGCACCTGATAAAGGTTGATGTGAAAATCATTGTCTACTGGGAGAAACCTCCCAGGGTTTGGAATCTTAACCCAACCACGTCAGTCCTGGCCTTTAATTTTGACTCCTAGAGGAGCCTCAATAAACCCAAGGATTATCAATCAGCATTTAAACCAGGGCCTTGAATTGATTCAGCTTGGTTCATTCATGATGATGAAGCAACACCAGAATTAACCCAAAGGACTGAAATGTGGGTGAACCAGGACATGAAGTGGAATGGGAGAAATTGTGGATTGAAGCCCTGCTAAGAATTGAATCTCCCGCTTAGAACAAGGCAGCACACACACACACAGCAACTCACTGTCTTGATCGACTGAGTCGAAAGCAAGAGCAAATCCTGCAGCTGACTATGTTGCTGTGAAGAAGTACCACTTTCCGCCGTCCTGGCAACCACCAAATGCCATGCATCAGGCTGCTGGAAGGGCTCACCACACCTCTTCTGAGCCCTCCGTTCCAGGGCTTCCATCCATAGTTTTTCCCTGTCCTGGTTCACATTTCTGATAACTCAACATTTAAAAAATTGGTTCTGTCCCGGTTTCGTGTGACTGACCATGACTGAGCCAGTTTAAACTAGTTGGAGCCCAAATATTAATGCAGCACTCTTTGGAAAACATCTGACTAAATTAATGTCAAGTACAAAATGAATGCCGAAAATGCCCTGAGTTGCTTTGGGACGAGAAGGACACAAATAATAAATAAAACATGAAAACTTACAGGAGCACTCTTCAAGGTATGCAAAATTTGAAACTCATGTTTTAGCAGATATTAAGGACAAAGCATGAACTTGGTTTGGCCTTGTTGAAGTAGAAATTGCTTTTAAGATGATAAATACAATTGTTTTTAAGCACCAGTAAACATTGAAGATTGAGCAGTTAAACACAGAAAGTTCCCTAACTTGTTATTTATAATAGCAACAATCCTGGTTAGAAATAATGGCTCTATTTTCACTCACAGAAAACAAATCCTGCTATCTCCAAATCATACTCGTGTCAGCCCGAGAGAGACAAGCTTTCAGATTAATACACATTCAATTCAAATAGGTCAATCTGTTTTATAAACCACCAGGAGAAACTATTATCCAGGAATAGTGACTGACTACAAACGTGCAGAGTTAACATACTGAACAGATACATGGGTCTCTAGAAGGAGACTTTATGCCAATCAGATTTTGAAACAATTTATTTTCCAAATATTATTCTCGTCTGTACCACCAGATTGGGGCCATCAATGTGCAGGAATAATGCTTGATCTGCAATGGTAGATTAACAACATTGGGTCGAACAGTCTCTTAGCAACTGCAGATGCCTGTAAAATCCTTTGATTAGGCAACTTAAAAACATTTTTTAGATCATTTTATGGGGGGCTCTTACAGCTCTTGTTATGATCCATACATCAATGGTATCTGACATATTAGTACAAATATTGCCATCGTTCTTTTCTAGACATTTACTCTCAATTGAGCCCTTGGGATCAGCCTCTTTTTACCTCCCCACCTCTTCACCCTCGTAGCCCCTTGATAGAGTATAGATTGTATTATTTTCATATCTCACACTGACTGCTGTCTCCCTTCCACTCTGGTTTCTGTTGATCTTCCCCCTGGATGGGGGGGTGTGGTTATGTGCCATTCATTGTGGTCGGTGCCCCTCTCCCTCCCCACCTCTCCCACCTTCCCCCCTACCCTTTTGGTATCTCTAGTCCCATTCCTGTTCCTGGGTTCCATGTGTGCTAAGTTTTATCTCTTGGTTAGGCAACTTTTTTTTTTTTTTAACATTTTATTAGGGGCTCATACAACTGTTATCCCAATCCATACACACATCAATTGTGTAAAGCGCATTTGTACATCGTTTCTCAAAACATTTTCTCTCCATTTAAACCCCCGACATTAGGTCCTCATTTTTCCCCTCCCTCCCCGCTCCCGCATGAGCCCTTGATAGTTTATAAATGGGTATTTTGTCATATCTTGCCCTGTCCGACTTCTCCCTTCATCCACTTTTCGGTTGTCTTGTCCCCCAGGGAGGAGGTCACACACAGTTCCATGTAATCGGTTCCCTCTTTCCTACCCATTCTCCCTTTACCCTCCCTGTTTTGCCACTCACACCACTGGTCCTATAGGGCTCATCCGTCCTGGATTCCCTGTATTTTCAGTTCCTATCAGTACCAGTGTAGGTTAGGCAACTTTTTATGATATAGGTCAAAGACTTCAAGTTTTAAGAGTAGTGATACTCAAGTAAACATTTCACAGCATTTAATTTATTATAATCTGTATCCTCAATTTAGAGCCCCCCAAATTTTAGTTATAGCACCAAGTTCTGAATGTTCGCATATCGCTAGAAATTATGTGTATATTATTAGAGCAATGCTAGATTATAAAATTCATCATTCATTAATAATGAAACATGCAAGTGATTTTTCAGACACCAATTTAAAGAATTAGGCTGTAGTCCTAATTCAGTGCCAAAGTGTCAATGACTTTCCCGAGATATCTTTATTGGTGTAGACGTTTGATTTCCAATGCTGTCTCTGGGAATTTGCCCTGCTTCATTTGCAGGCTTACACATGCAATGACTTCTCTTTCCATCTCTTACCTAGGTTTTGCCACATGCTGAATATTTCACAGCCCATTGTTACCCGCATGTCACCGTACCTGAAATAGAACAACAATGAACACAAAACCTCGCAAATGAAGCAGTATTGTGTTTTTAGTAGCCAATCTACCGTCCCACAATAGAAGGCAAGTATCTTTTTAAAAAATATGACTGTGGTAAAATATAGGTATGTGTCACTTAACTTACATTTGGGAAACACCCCACTGCATACACTTCAGGGGTCCCATAGGGGTGTGTGTGTGTGTTTGTGTGTGTGTATTCTCTTTCAAAGGGAAAGCAGACCTCTTAATTGGTTGAAAGGCCAATACAGATTCTTGCTTCACTGCCCCAGGGGTGGGATACAGGCAGGTGACACAGAGGCAAGAGTGCAGGCCTGCAGGAGAAGGGAGCCGTGGGCCTGGGCTGCTCTTGCTGCTCAGACAGGTGACACAGCAGGTTGGGCTGGCTGCACTCAGCACCTTGCCAATCACCTCCTCTTGCTCTGCTCCCACTCCACCTTCTTAGCTGCCGCTGTAGCACCTGATCCTCCTGCCTCGGCCGGAAGCTCCAGAAGCAGTCGCAGCGGCAATGAAGACAACAGGAAGCAGGCTCCCATAATGTGTTAATATGTTATTTGCACAATGTCCAAATCACATAACATCCTATGTCACAGAACATGTCGTGGACATTAAGTGACACCTATCTATATGTATAACAAAAAGTTTGCTCTTCGGACTATTTTTAAGTGTACAATTCAGTGACACTAATTACATTCACAATGCTGTAGAAACATCATGACTATCTAACTTGTATATCTTATTCTCATCTCTTCAAATGCTAGCTCTCAACCCATTAAGCAATAGCTCTTCATTCCCTTCCTCCGCAGCCTGGTCACCCTTTAATGGAAATATGCTTTTAACTAAAGATATGTAATATGCATGTCTTGATAGCTCTAATTCAAAACCTTATAAAAAGCCTGCAGTAAAACAGATTTGTTTGTTTTTGCATCTATAAAATATTTAAATCTTGAAAGACTAGGATCAGAAAAAATATTCCAAAGAAAGTTTGAGGTTCTGCAATTTCCAAAAACAGATTATGTCCTGTCGTGTTGGCCATTGCTCCTCCACGGTGTGGTCTCCAGTTGTGGGTGTTAGTTATGAACCACATAAGCCAAACACCCTTCAAGAGACACAATCTCATCTTCTCACTGGATTCTGCGCTGGTACTTACTTTTCTAACACCTTTTTCTTTTTGGATGGTGTGAACATCTCCAATTGCAGACACAACTGGTTTATAAAAATGACCGCGAGGTAAAAGTAGGAATCCCAGATCTGAAATGACAACAAATACTTACATACTTTGATGGTACAAAAGTATTTGTGGATGGAATGACATGCAGTTTTGGACTTGCTTTATAGGTTCTATGTGAATAGGAATAAAGTTGATAATAATCACAACTGGATATATGCCCGGGGGTGGGGGGGTTTCATGATACGATTCTCTCTACTTCCATATATATTTGAAAATTCTAAACAAATAAATACTATTCATGTTGGTGTTGCTTCAATGCCATATTCCAGGTTTAATGAGCTCTTTGACGGATGCTCGATTGGAGACGTGTTGGTACTTTTATAACATATCTATGTATCTCCAGGGAGGTACAGGATGAATTACTTTATACTTTTGTGAATTCATTTTTAGAACACCTTTTAATTTAGAACTTTAAAATATGCATAGACTTCTTAGGATATGCTAATTGATTTAAATTCAGAAAGTATATGAAATTTCCTGGCTAACAAATCTTTTGAGTCTAAGTTTTCTTATAACAAAAACAGCATGAGAAAAAGATTAAAATAAGACAACCAGAAATAAATTTAACCAAAATATGTAGAACATAATGGGAAAAAACTACTTTTGTACTGATGTCATGTAAAACAAAAGACCAACGACAAACCAGGAAAAGCATAGCAAATAATGCCATGTATTCATGAGGTCAGAAAAAAAAGAATATGATAAATCCTCCAAAAATAATGAGCCAAGGTCAAGGGCAATCCACAAAATAAGATTTTTTTTCTATAACAAGCTGCCAAAGAAAATAGATGAGAACAAAACTGAAAATCCCCCCACCCCTTATCAATCTGGCACTGATACAGGGAAAACAGGCTAATAAAAAGTACAAATGTGAACTCAGCCACTTCAGTTATGAAAAACTTACCTACAGACATACTTAGGGATGTACACAATGTTTGAGTTTTTAAGATGCACATAATAACAGAAATTAAATGAATCCATAAAAACCACTACCAAAAAAGTAGGTTTCCAATTATGTAATTTTAACATATTATTAGTACAAAATGATATGACGAAATCTAACATAGTCATTACAATTACATTGGTTTTCATTTTCCTTGTATTCTTCCATATTTTCTAATTATCAAACCAGAAAATTCCATTGAATGTTCAATAAGAAAAAATGTTACTGTAAAGCGAATAAGAAGCAAAATGCCACCAGCACAGGGAAACAATTAGGACTGGCAGCCAGTGGAGCACGGCCCATCTCGGTCAGCCATGTGTCCGCGCCATTTGAAAGAGAGCCTATCATAAATTCTCAGGCACCATGGCTTCCTCCAGATTATGCCACAGAGGCACAGAAAGTTTCACCATTAAGAAGCTTACAAATCTTTGTTTTCTCCTTCTCAAAATTTCATTTTAAAAACCAGGAATATGGAACAGTCAAGGAATAAAAGAATTATTTTATAGATGTTTTCTTTACAGGTGTCTATTGGAGGAAATATCTTTTAAAAATGTTCTAAGTCTCTTTGGTTATGCACGGGGATTAAAGAGTAAGAATTCAAATAGATGGCAATAAAGAATTGCTTCCTAAGCACTATTTCCCCCTGGTTGATGTGCATTCACATAGCCCTGACTTATTCACAGCATAATGAAAACATCTAATATTACAATTAATTAAAACAAGAGTAATGTAAGTAGTAAGAACAAAGTTATTTAGTGGTTAAAAAAAAAACTAAACTACCTTCCTAAAGTACCATGCAAGACAGTTATCAAAGTGGATACTTACCTTATAGTCAAAGTTTTCATTTAAGAAGTTCTTACGCAGAGCATCTGAGAGGTACAGAACTGTTGTAATAATAACACTAGTGATAGAGAGAAAAACATGTTGAAAACTTAATATTAGTGAAACTTTGTTATGAGATAAAGTGGGTAACAAACAAGATAAAAGAATATCTGGGAAAACATTTCATAATTCATATCTGAAACAAAAGAGAAAAGAGATGCCAGGCTGGCCACACCCCTGCTGCCCCGTCACCCCTAGATCTGTTACCAATCTCAGTGGCTTTATAAAATTATACACAGGAAAATCTATGGATTCATCTAATTCAAGAAAAACTACTTTAGTATCTTTATGTCTTGTAATGTTTTTATTAATTTCTGAATAAGGCATAGTGACTTAATACAAATATAATATTCCATAAATTAAAATGAAAGATGCTTTTAAAAATGGAGGAACAAGAAAAAGAAGGGCACGCAAAGATGGAATGAAAAACTAAACCCACTGCTCTCAAACAGTCAACTCAAAGAGACCCTGTATCGTGAGTGTTCTTCTCAGAATGTAAATCTTAACAGGAGCAGTCAGCCTCATTTTTCTTCCATGTCATGACTGATGGATTCGAACCACTGATCTTGTAGTTAGTGGCCTAACACTTATCCCCAGCACCACCAGGGATAGAAAGAAAAGCAAATAGAACTCATAGCCATCTAGTCGACTGTGACTCATAGCACCTAAACATAGGGTCTCTGAGGCTGTAACTCTTGATGATAGCAGAGTCTCATCTTTCTCCCTCAGAACAGTTGGTGGGTTTGAACTGCTGACTTCATGTTTAAGTGTCTAAATCTTCAACCAGTTATGAAAACGTGTAAATAGAATAAAATGAATGGTTTTATTGAGTATTTATTTAATTTCTCCGCTCTGCTTTTTATCATGCAAAGTGTTAAGGGGCATGGAAATCCCAGGGCTCAGAGTCCCTCTCTCAAGCTGCCACAAAGGAAACCATTACAGAGAGTGAACGCGTGCATGATCAGGACTAATCCATGTGGAACTGGCAGTGAGTGTTGGAGCAAATCAGAGAACAGAGCATTTTCAGGACCAGAGAAGTTAGGATTAGGAAAAGCTTAAGAGAGGGAACATATAAAATCATACATATTTTCTGACATGATTAAAACATGTGTCTAGATAAGCATCCAGAGACCATAGCTCACTTAGTGATAAAGAAAAAGGATTTGGTGAGCATTTCTCTTTATTCTTGAGTTCTACAGTGTGTTTTAAATCTCACTGTTACAGCTAGAAGGATTTTGCAGCAATGGGATGGAGATGGCACCTGACAATTACCATCAGGTCCTAGGATTCTGATGAGATAAATGTCAGGCACGCCTCTAGCTTCCAACCTACTTGATCAACTTGCACACCAGTGCCCCACCCTGGGCACTCTACTCTGCTGCATTTGGTCATTCGTTGCAATGGCCCCACAGAAGTCACAGACAATGTTGATGATTGCTGAGGTTTATTAGGGAAGTTGGCGGGTTAAAATCCAGGATCAGGGACAGCAGTTCTCTGGTCAGTAGTGCCTCTTCTCAGCCTCGCCTGAAGGCACACTTCTCTCTGGGCCTCAGCCCCTCAGCCATGGAGTCCCATGGCTTCTGTCAGGCTCAAGAAAGTATCACAGAGCTCATCCAGCACTTCTGATCAACGTGCAAAGGACACACAGCTCCACCATATGCCTCAGCTCCCAGCCGCTCAGCTCCAGCACCAGGACAAACCGACCTCTACAGCTCAATGCCTGGTGGCCGTGCGTTCCACTTTACTTGTTCTGTGATCCGTGGACCCGCTGCTCGGTTCTGTGCTCTTGATACCACTGCCTCTGCTGCTGCTGTCTCTCCTGTTTCCCAGTCGCAGGTGCCTCCGCTCTGTCTCATGGATCGAGGAGGTTCAGCACAGGAATCTCAGGATCCACACGATGGGCTTCACTCGGAGCTCTTCCACCTCGATGGTCATGAGACCCCTGCTCCTGCTTCCGAAACGGCTTGTTTCAGAGCCAGCTGGCCAGAAAAACTGACCCAGGTCCACCTTAGAGTTTCACACACCCTATTTGCAGGGCTCCCACTCAATCGTTTGGTGGGAGTTACAAAGACTATGGCTAGAAGAGTCATAACAAGTAATTTCATTATTATTAACAGATCATTTTATTGGGGCTCTGACAACTCTTATGACAGCCCATACATCAATTGCATCAGGCATATTTGTACAGATGATGCCGTCCTTCTTCTCTAGCCACTTACCTCCTATTGAACCCTTGGTATCAGCTGGTTTTTCTCACCACTACCCCCCCACTCATGGTCCCTTGAAAGATTATAAATTATTATTTTCATATCGCACGCTCTCCCTTACCCTATAATTTCTGTTGTTCTTCCCCCTGGAGAAGGGTGTGTGGTTATGCGTCTATCATTGTGATCAGTTTCCCCTTCCTCCCCTCCTCTCCCCCACTTCCCCCTACCCTTCTGGTATAGCTATTCCCATTCCTGTTCCTAGATTCCATGTCTTTTGAGCTTTTATTGCATCTATAACTGTGTACATGCCCCGGTCTAGTCCAGAGTGAGAAGCAACACTGGGGTCATGATAGTGGGTGGTGGTGGTGAGGAAATCTCAAGGAACCAGAGGAATATTGTGTACTCCATTGGTGCTTTACTGCACCTTGGTTGACTCATCCCTTCCTCGAGACTCCTCTGTGGGGGGATGTTCCATTGTCTACAGATGGGCTTTGGGTAAGGTGACCAGACATCCCGCTTTTGGTAGGACAATCCCGATTTTTGGCAGTTTTAAAAAGTCCCGATTTTTGGAAAGAATGTACTACAAGCTAGGGAACAGTCTATTTGGTTCATATAGACCAAATTTTTAATCAAGAAACCCCACCCCACCCCCGTCAATGGTGTTCCGCTTTAAATCTGGTGGGGTCTCCGCTCAGACCCCCCTCATTCTGAACAATATGTTTTTGTTTGTTTGTTTGTTTGTTTGTTATGGATCTTCTGATGTCTGTCACCCAGTCCCGATGATGCCTCATGATTGCACCAGCTGGTGTGCTTTTTCCATGTGGTTTTGTTGCTTAACTGCTGGATGGCCGCTTGTTTAACTTCAAGCCTTTAAGACCCCAGACACTATATCTTTTAATAGCTAGACATCACCACATTTACTTATGCACCCATTTTGTTTTCAGCAATTGTGCCAAGGGGAGGGTGGTGAGTGGGGAGTGAGCATCACAAAATGCCAGTTTACTAGAATGAAGTGTTCTTGTATAGAGGGAGGGTATGCCCTGAGGCCCAAAGTCCATCCACAACCTCAGTGTATTGCCATATAAATATAGGTACTTGGTCAATACCTCTATTTTTATGGATTAATATATTTACATATGTACTATGCTTATACCTCTATCCATAGTTTTGCTTCCTGTTTCCCATTGCCTTCTTCCTGCCCCACCATCACGTTCCCCCTACTTCTGCCTCTTAGTACTTCCTCTCAGCTAGATCCCTGTTGTTCCAACACCCCCACGATCTCTCCATCCTCCTTGGTTTTGGTTTTAATTCCCTCATCGTTCTGCCTGTGGTGTTGTTGCTCACCATCGCCCCCACCTCCTCCCCCTAAGACCCTCTGCACCATCTGCCCTGTTGCTTTCTCCCCAAGCTTGCTTCCCATACCTGTCTTCTATAAGTAGGCACACCAACACTGACAGACCAAACAATCAGAAAACAAGCGTGAAAAAACGGAAAGAAAAAAAAGACAGAGAAAGGGAGAGAAAACACACAATTCCAGGTCTGTCTGCTGGCCTTTATGACTATCTCTCCCATGGTCCTGGGGGAATTCCAGGAGCTGCCCCTCCTAGCCTGAAGTCTATTTTGGGGCTCTTTAGGGACTTTGTGGTTTGGCTTTGCTCCAGTTGCTGATCTGTTATGCTCCCTTCTTGGTTTGCTCCGCTGTGGGGGTTCAGACTGCACTACCCCCCAGCTGTGTGTCTCCATTACTGTCTTCTGTCACAGTACGCTCCAGTAAGGGGACAACATGTCATGAGCTGTTGTCGGCCCACAGTCCTCTCTGTGCCTTAGCAGCTCCGTGCAGGGGCATTGTCCTCCAGGCTTGGTGTGCCAATATGGGCCCTAGCCGACTCTCCCTTTCTTTTTCCTTCTTGGTTTGCTTCCGTGTGGGCGTGCCATGTTGGCCCCTTTACCACACCTGTAGGGTTAGTGTTGCCCTCTCTCACACATACATCTCGGGAGGGGGCCAGTTGATCTCCCTTTTGACTCATTTAAAAAGTTGTTCTAGTTTTAGTATTTTTTATTTCTTTTCTATTGAGATTTTCCTGTTATTGTTAGTTGTTTGTTTTGTGAGTTTTCTGTACATTAAATCCTAGACAGGTAAATCTAGAGCCAGTAACTGGATCAATGGCTTCTTAAAAACCATTGGCAGGGGAGGTTGTGGGGAAACAGTGTGCTAATAATAAGAAACTGTTCTTAAATTGATGTAATAATGATTGCTAACTATGGATATGATTAAGCTATGAAACAGTATGATATGTTAAATCATTGGATTAAATACCAATACAACCTTTAAATTGGATTAAATACCAATAAAATACCAATAAATACCAATTAAATCATTAAATTGGATTAAATACCAATAAAACCTTTAAAAATATCAAATGCATTTACAATTGGCTCATTGAATGTTGTTAGTTGGCTTTGAGCCTTTTTCTGACTCACGGAGACCCCAGGCCCTAGGGTATTGGAACATTGTGATCCGAAAGTTTTCATTGACTGATTTTTTGAAAGTAGTGCACTAGACTCTCCCTGCTTCAAACGGGATGCTGTTCTATTCCAGTCTGAAAGGTCCAATGAAATCCATTCAGCAACCTAGCACCACAAGCCTCTCCTGACAAGTGCCTTTGCTTGAGGCGTGCGCATCGGCCTGGAATTAAACTCAGCTTTTCATCATGAAAAGAGGCAATGGTCATTCTCCCACTAAACAACACCGCCCCCAAATGGTTGTCTGAAATTGCATCATACTGAACTAAGAAAAGCAACTCTGTTGTTG